GGGCTGGTCTAGGGGAGCCCCTGGGGGGTGCTCAGGGACTGGGATGGTGCACGAGTCTGAGGGAGCCTGTGAGTGTGTGTGTGTTTGGGGGGGAGGGGTGCTCATGCACTGGGAGGTTGAGGGTGGGGACTGGCTTAGCAGCTGGTCTCTGTCAGCTCCCAAAGTGAGAGCCCTTGGCTGTGGATCTTTGCTCTGGTTGGAGAGCGGCAGGTTTATAATGCAGCCTTCCTTCCAGGCAAGGCTCCCTAGAGGAGACCCATCACCGGAGCATCCCAAATGGCCCAGTTCAAGCGCCAGAAGCCGATGCGAGGTGGCAGCCTGCAGGGAGCAAGGCCGTTCTCAGGTCAGTCAGCTGGATGCCTTGTGGGGACGTTTTGTGCGGGCTTTCGCAGTAGCCCAGCTGAAGTGTGAATGGCCCAAGTGATGAGGCCTCCACTGCTTTTCCTGGGCAATTGTTGAACAGTCCATTAGGTCTTAACTGAAACTGGCTAGAATCAAGTATTGAGTCAGAATGGGAGACAGAGCCAGAACTCCTGAGTTCTGTTCCCAGGTACTGCCATTGCCTTACATAGTATCCGCATTATATTGTGTCTCAGGGAATTTATGAGGCTTGATCAGTGCTTTGCTGTGGTTGAAGAGCAAATCCTTTATCACATGCTATTACTACTCCATTATTCCTGTATTTAGTATCCTGTTAGTCTATAAGGTGCTGCAGGACTCCTTGTCGCTTTTGCAGATCCAGACTAACACGGCTACCCCTCTGATACTTTACTCCATTATTCCTGTATTTCTTTTACCGTGACTAAGAGACCTTTTATCCCAGAGAAACACAAACTGCTTCACTCACTAATTACTGTAAAGGAACTCTTAAAAATCTTTCCCTTTACAGAGAAAAACACTACAATGCACATATCTCTGGGTTGGAGGGCTACATAATAATGTGAGGACATCAACTTTCTCTTCTATAAAGACCCTCCTGCAATTTCAGTCTTGTACAGTTGGCTGGCTGGTAGTTTGCTCTCTGTCTTAAATTGTTGTATGGATTCTGTATGTTGGTGTTAATTTAATAGACCAGGGTATGTAATGTCTGCTCGTGCTTAAGAAATTTATTTGGCAATGGCAAAACTACGTGTGTTGGATGAAGCAGAAAGATTCTTCAATGTTTTTAAGCTTTCGCTTTTGTTGTTCAAATTTTTGGCTGTGCAAATGAGTTTCCAAGCACAAGCGACAAGGAGTCCTGTAGCACCTTATAGACTAACAGATGTATTGGAGCATAAGCTTTCGTGGGCAAAGACCCACTTCGTCAGATGCATGTAGTAGAAATTTCCAGAGGCAGGTATAAATATGCAGGCCAGAATAAGCCTAGACATAACGAGGTTAATTCAGTCAGGGAGGATAAGGCCCACTTCTAGCAGCTGATCTGGAGGTGTGAACCCCAAGAGAAGAGAAACTGCTTTTGTAGTTGGCTAGCCATTCACAGTCTTTGTTTAATCCTAAATTGATGGTGTCAAATTTGCATTTGAACTGTAGCTCAGCAGTTTCCCTTCTTAGGATTAAACAAAGATACTTACCAAGCACAGTGGTCTCTCTTCCTGAGTCTGCAGCTGGGCAGCTCCTGTGCTTTTATAGCTTTGTCAAACAGCAGAAAGGTGAAATTAGGAAGACGTTAACCGGTTTAAGCCCTGGCCTGTTTTGCCAGAGTCACATCCATTTCATGGGAAATAAGTGAGCAGAGAGAGGCATTGAAGCAGTTCTTGGGAATAGTAGGAAAAGCATGACTCGTAGGCTCAGGGAAAGGCATAGAGTACTGGACACAATAGCTGTGATGCTCTGGGGATGAAGGAACATGGAGAGAGAATCGCTCACTTCCAGGAGCTAGAAGGGGCAGGTTGGGGGGAGGAGAGGGGTTTGCATTAGGAGATACCTGCTGGCTATGGGCAGCATCTTCCCTCTCTGGTATGGCTAAGTGTAGGAGTTTCCCAGGGCTTTGCTTCTGGAAACCTTTAGTAGCACCAGTCTGGTTCTCTGGCTATTAGACATCTGGAAAACTGGACGGCTAATTACTAGGGATGGTAAAATGTGTGTGATTTGGTAACCGCTGAAATTTTCAGCGGTTACGCGTGGGGCGGCAGCCAGCTCCCTGGGTGCTGCATGTAAAAGTTTGGGTAACCGATAAGATCATGGTTATCAGTTACCTGTTTAAATGGCTACACTCTTGCATCCCTACTAATTACAGGTCAGTGTCTTTCCTGCCTTGCCCACCTAACAACCAAGTCTTTCGTGTGTGTGTTTGGCACCATTGCTGAGTTTTCTAGGGATTAACTTTTTCTCCCTTTTCTAGGGACACACCCAACCTCCTTACTGGGACCTCCACCTGGCCTGTTAAACCCTCCTATCTCAGCCGATCTTATCCAGAATGCACGGCACCTGCAGGTATGCTTGGGGCAATCCTTCCCTTAACCCTGTCTCTTTTAGCTGACCCCCTGTTATCTTTTAGGGGCTGACCTGGTGTTTCATCAGGAGCTCTCACTTCCTGAGAGACCAGCCTGGAGTTTGTCCCCATGCTAATGCATTCTTAACCCTCCAAGTATTAAATCACTTCTGATTCGGTCTGTCCCATGTAAGGTGAGGCGCCCCATAGGGCTCCTGGTGCACTTCAGATCACAGCCCAACCTCCTGCATGTGGCTGCAGGAATTCCCTGCAGGGTCTCCTGAGGCTTGGACAGCCCAATGGCAGTGAAATCCAAGCAAAATGCGTGTGCAGTGCGTTCGTGAGAGAGCAGAGCCTTGTGGATCATCGCCCTAGCGTGGGTCAGATGAGCTTTGGGCTTTAAGGTGCTCAGTGGTCGTGACTGAGCCCTGGACTACCAGTGTCTCCTACTCAGGCTCGGATCTGTCCGCTGCAGTTCTAGGGCTAATAGGGACTGCCACAACGCATGCAGTCGATTTGCTGGCTGTGAGAATAAGCTGCACGGAATGTGAGGGGTCTGACTGCAGGGCTCTGTGAGCGGGGAGAGCCAGTAGGCGATGACTGAGCGGTAACCCGTGTGGCTGGCAAGAGCCCCACTTTGCCCTTTTGGGATGTTGTGGTGAACCCGCTGGCCCTTTGCCTTGCAGGTGGGTGAGAAGCAGCGAGTCTTCACAGGCATTGTCACCAGCCTGCATGACTACTTCGGGGTGGTGGACGAAGAGGTCTTCTTCCAGCTGAGGTAAGGCGAGGGCTGCTCCATGTAGGCAAGAGGGTTCTAGGAACACTTCAGCACTAGAGTATCCCTTCCCTTGAGGAGCCGTGGATCTGGACTCTGTTAATTTGCTCTGGAGGAGGAAAGTTAGGCCTCCTGGGCTCTGTTCTGAAATGATAATGGAGGTGCCTTGTTGCTCTGTGTCCTTGTGGCAGTGTCGTGAAGGGCCGGTTACCACAGATCGGTGAGAAAGTGCTGGTGAAAGCTGTCTACAATCCAAGCCAATCGGTGCCCTGGAATGCCATGAAAGTCCAGACATTGTCCAATCAGGTATCACTTACAGCTCTTCTTGTGTCTCTCCGTGTGTGGGTTGACGGAGTCTCTTTCCGGGCTCAGGGAGCATTAGTTACTTGGGGCCCACGTTTGCCTTGATTTGGCAGCAACAGTTGCTGCGCCCCCATCCCAGAAGTGCCACATCTAGCGAAAAGGTCAAACCAGGCTTTGCCCCGGTGATCCCTTGGCTCCAGCCCCGCAGGGACTCTCTGGTGGAGCTCTTCGTCTTGAGGAAGCTGGGTTTTCACGGCTGCTTCCTGCCAGGTGAACGCCCTCTCGTTCCCATTTGAGGGCCCATCTCCTTGGAGGCTCTAGGCCTGGGTGAGCGTGTGGTTGGATGGGGAACAAGTTCTTGGTCTAAGTATTGCATCTCTTTACTGTGTAGCCCCTCCTGAAGGCCCCCACACCTCTTCTGCATGTGGCATCCTTAGGCCAGAAACAAGGCATCCTGGGAGCCCAACCCCAGCTGCTGTTCCAGCCTCACCGGATCCCTCCCCTGTTTCCCCAGAAACGTGAGTACTGAGGGCTAATGCAGGGGAGACTTTGAGCACTGGAGCTACAGGGATTCCTGGGATGATCTGCCTGTCTTAGTGGGTGCTTTTGGTCCTGGCAGCATTGAGTTAAGAGTCTGGGATAAGCCCCACTCCTTTGTCACGACCACAGGAAAACACGTGCGCATACCACGTGGAAACAACGAGCGTTAGCTAGTCCAGGTGGGGATTGGAGTAGGATAGAAATAAGACTGTATTTGTTTCCCCAGCAATGAGCCTCTTCCAGTCATCCCCTGCGCTCCACCTGGGCCATCTTGGGAGATATCCTGGTCGGGGCCCAAAGGGCAGGCAGGACTCGGGCAGATGGTAAGGACTGTGGAACATGTACCCTTGCACGGAGGCAGAAATCTTCCTCTTTCCCCGGCTTCCTCCCCTGATTCCCTCAGCCCACTAGAGAGAGAACTTGGCAGATTCTTAAGGCCCCCGTCTGCCTTTTGCAAGAATCCTGCAAAATCCCAGTTCTGATCATTGTTCCATCTCTCTGGTGTTTGGAGTCTTCACTTCCTCTCCTAAACTGTTGTGCACTGTTAAAAACGTCCGCATGCCGCCCGCCAGGTAGCCTGGGATCCTGCTAGGGCTGGAAGGTAGCTGTACTTACGGGCACTGTGCCGATTACAGGGACGACTTTGATTCAAAGAAACGGAAACAGAAAGGTGGTGAACCGTGGGGAGTGAAAAAGCCGCGCCATGATCCGCCCCAGTATCGGGTCTACTTTGCACGCTATGCTGTGAACAGGTGAGCACTTGGGGCATGAACAGGGGCTCTGGGCAGGTTACCAGAGTGCTCGGTGGCGGACTTGGTGATTCTGTCCCGTGTCTTTACCCAGAATACACATTCCTGATGTTGGTAGCAACTAAAAGTCGTTCCCATCTGAAGACTGACTCGGCAGAGCAAGGGCGCCCTTTCGGGAGGGCGGGTGTCACTGCTTCCTTTCCTTCCCATTCCCCTGGCTGTCGTGGAGTGGGGGACGGAGCACAGATTTCTGTGAATTACTCCTGCCTCCTCCCCAGCCAGTACTCCTGTACTCAGTGTTTCAGGCTGTGTGCACGTCCCTATTGCTATCCCTGGTTTCTCTCTGCTTGGCTTCAGCCCCTTCTGCGACGCCATGGAAATCCTGAGACGTTACTGCAGCATCCAGCTTCCCCGAGAGTTCTTTGACGTCCGTCTGTGCTGGCTGGACACGTTCCCGCTCACCCAGCCACTGACCCTCAGGCATCCCAGCCGCATCCAGGTGGCTGATCCTGGTGAGGAGGCGCTCGAGACAAATGAGGATGCCACGCAGGAGGCCGTGCCGGAGGACACGGATCCTGTGTTCAGTGCCAAGGTGAGAGATTCTAGGGCACCCCCAGCTCTGTGCGCCTTCCTGTCCTGGAGGAGAGGCTATTTCTCCAGCACCTGGGTTCGTACGGCTATCTGTGCCAGTCTCACCCCGTTGCTGTCCTTGCAGGTAATGCTGCTGTCTTCCCCGGGCTTAGAAGAGTTTTACCGCCATTGCTTGTTACATATTGAAGACCCCAGCGAGCAGAAGGAGAGTCTAGAGCACCCCACAAAGCAAATAAAGGTCAGGCTGCTGTGAGGGGGCTGGGGTGGGTACGTGGAGAACTGAGCTCTACCAGGGAGCGGGGAGAAGCTCTCTGTGCCATGTGTGGAGAGGAGGAGCAGGAATTTCTGCCCTCTACAGAGGCTTGTTGGGCTTCACAATGGCTCTTTTCCTAGTTCCTGCTGGGGAGGAAAGAGGATGAAGCGGTGCTGATTGGAGGGGAGTGGTCACCTTCTCTGGATGGCCCTGACCCGGACTCCGATCCCATGGTTCTGGTTCGCACAGCCATTCGCTGCACCAAGGCCCACACCGGCCTGGACCTGAGCGCTTGCACGAAGTGGTGAGTGTGGCCTCTCCGATGCCAGACCTGTGCCTGTATGGCGGAAAAAGAGACGAGGGGCCCTGTGCTAGAAGGCTCAGCCCGTGAAATTAACGAGCAGCAGGTTTGAAATGGTGTTCAGAAAAAACCTCGTCCGTATGCCCGAGAAACCTCTGCCAGAAGTTGGGATTAGCTCATTGAAGAAATGTCCCTGTTGTGTTGAAACAGGCATGAGGTAGTAGGTTTATCTAACTTTGCGGTGTGAGGTGACGTGCCCGTTGTGGCTTGGTGGAAGGAGAGGTGGTTTCCTAGGGCCACCCCCTATTTCTGTGGGGCTCAGATCCATGTTGGGATGGGATTTTGGGTGCATCGGTTTGGCGGATTACATCATGGCTATATATAGAATTCCTGCTCTGGGTAACCGTGGCAACTGATTTTATTTTGCTTAAACCTGGCCTCACATGTGACATGGTTGGTTAGTAACAGCTGACAGAATATGGAGGCCTTCTGTCTTTAGCGGGGGGGGGGGGTGGACCCCAGGC